GCTTACGCGGCCAAATACACACAAAAAATGGCGTCAAAATGGCCGTCCTGGCGATTATCCTCGTAAGCACAGTCGGTTTTGTCTTAACTAAATGTAAACATCTGAGAAAGAAAACGCATGGGTATCAGTATTGGATCCGTGCATTCAGGTTTGTGAGAGCAGCCACGTCGCATCTCTTTGCGTGCTCAAGTTTGTTGTTTCAAATGTAGATGCTAGGCAAGCCTGCTCATAATATAAGTTTTTTTTAATGAAATATATGCACGCTATAGGTCAACACAAACGTCTTTCACTGGTGCGTGAGGAGGGGATCTGTCAAATGAGGTGCCGGATCAGATTTCGGACAAATTCGGAGGTGCCGGATCAGGATACGGCTTGTTCCAGCACAAATTAAGCCCTGATTCTAACATTATAACATGAATTGCAGTGAAACTGTTATACAGTTAAATTTATTTATACCATAGTCCAGTGTTTCCCAGGCGGCATATATATGCAAACTCATTCTCTGCCAGCAGGAGGCGCTGTTGGAGTGGTAGAGATCAAGGTTTCCCCAGTAATGGCTGTACACAAAGCAGCGCTCCGCTCAAAAAAACACTGCTTTATCAGACATTACATCCAAGATTAAATGAAAATGACATTCAATTTTCTGAAGACAGTCGGTTTCTTTCAGAAATACAGTGATATAAAAACACCCGCACTCAATGTATGGGAAACACTGTAGTCTCATAATTGAAGTGTAAATTCTGCAGATTACATCATTGTCCAGTATTGTACTGTCAGCAATTTATTATAAAAACGTTTTCATAATTGTAACATGCATATTTACATACATAATTATTCAGGTGCATGTATAACAACTTGCGAAAACTTGAGGCTACAGCAGCACTTCTTCTTCGTAGTCTTGTCTGATGCACTCAACCAAGCGTTCTAACCATAGACATAATAAATACCTAGACGCCTCATTGGCCGCTTTGAGCCGTTGTTGCGATACGTCAACGCGTCCGCCATGTTTGTGAAGGCAAGACTGCCTTAAAAATAAATACCTTAAAGGTACTTAAATGGTACATGCTTTTGAAAAGGTACCGGCCCAGTGAAAGCTTTTGCACCTTTTTTTCTTTTCTGAGTGTATGGTCACAAATGTAACCTATGATATTAATTTGGTTTTAAAAGTACAGTGCAAGTCCTGGGTCAGAAATGACACAGCAAACAGGCAATGTGCCTCAGCTTTAAAGACCAAACAAGCTGAGTCATATCTGTGTATTATAGCCCTGCTGACAGGACCATGAGAGAAAACAAGTTTGAGTCGTAAATAAATGCAATATAATACACAATGATTTGTAATGGATACTTTGGGTAATCCTTCACACTTGCTCATAACCACCACAGGGAGTTAAGCACATGTCGTGCATTAAATGCGTGTAAAGGCAATGTGTGTGTTTGCAGTCTTCTTCTCCCAGTGTTCTGCTTTGCATGCTTTGTGTCTGTAAGAAAGGTTTTTTTTTTATGTTCAGCTGATGTTTTCTCTCAGCTCATGCCTCACTGGATGTTTAAGATATACTGTTTTTTGCTTTAAACCTTAACAATGGGTTTTCCTCAGATTTTCCTAATGTAATTGTCATAATGGGTTCATAAAGGAATATTTGGACCCTGACTATGTGTTTCTGTCTCCCTGACGTCAAAGTTTTTAAATCTTTTCAGACGGTATCAGAAACTGCAGAAGATAATGAAGCCTTGGTAAGCCCCTCCCCTCGAGCTGGATAACCCCCCTGTCACTTACCCTCTAATCTCCGGGCCGAGTCTCTGCATGATCGGGCTCTGGCCTCAGTGCTCAAAACCAATCAAAGCGATGGGAACACTTGGCAATTGCTGCAGTCACTACCATTTTTCTGATGATTTTATGGTTTTATTTGGATGTTATTTCCATGTAACCAAATCATCTTTCTTTCTTTTGCATGTGATGTTGGGCAACATTGGTGCTTTAGGGGGAGCTTTGCACTAACCTTTGGTAAACTTTTTTTTTTCTTCTTCCATTCATTGACAAGGTTATGTGCTCACATTTCCATATGATTGCAACACCCACCATTCCTCTTAAAGTTTTATCAAAACACTGCTTGTTGCTTAAAGTCCTGTTGCTCAGGATCCCTCTAAAATGATTCGTTGTCATAAACAACAAGTGACCTCAGCTAAACTCATATATCATGTCACATTTCATGTACATTTCATTTACTCAACACTAAATATTCCTTTGTAAGATTTCATCATCTCTCAATGTCACCATGGTAATTATTTGTAGGGTTTTGCCCAATTCCAGCTGCAAATACTTCCTGCTCCCAGTGGTACATTTATGAATTGCTGTTCAAACTAATGTATTTTTATTATGAGGTCTAACTTGCGCTGTATTAACTCCCTGCTGCCCTCAAACACTCAACACTAAGCTCAATGCAGGCAACTTTATTAAGTCTTTTCTGTTTCATGTCTAGGGCTCTGCCTTTTATGTTCTGTAACAGTTAAAATGGTATTATTTGTATTTATGTTTTTGTAACTTCAGACCTCTTGACCTGAAGTTTTTTTTCCCCCTCAAAAGCTGTTTTTTTGCTATGTTGTAAATTTTACTTTTAGTTCCACCTGTATTTTAATGATGAGAAATAATGAAAAGGCATGAACTGAGGTATTTGTGACGATAGGGGGTAGTGTTATTCATTTTAAAACCAAAATCTGAACCTAGAAAGCTGTCGCACATACAGAGTGCAATCTGAGTGCAATTTTATGTGCAATCACGGCATGCTACAGTACAGATGCTGTTTATAGAAGTTAATCCAAAAATGAAAATTTAATTCTGTCATTTTACTTTTCATTTACTTACTCCCATGTCGTTTCAAACTCGTATGACCTTTTTTTGTGGAACATAAAAAGAGATATTTTACAGAGTTGTCCGTTCCACTGGTGTTCTTATTGTTAACTAAAACTACAACTAATAGAATCGTTTTGTTAATTGAAAGCTTAAATAAAATATAAACATTAGAAAAACTTGATATTAGAAATGTTGCTTCGGAAATGGTGAAATAACATAAGTACTGAAATTACTATAACTAAACGTGAAATTAAAGCTGTATAGAAATATTTAAAACAACTAGAAACTAATAAAAATGCCCAAATCACAAAAATAAAAAAAAATATAAAAAAAGCTGTATATTAATAAAATGTATTAATAAATGTAAATGTTAAATTAATAAAATATTAATAAATACTATAAATTAAAAGTAAATAAATAATGCTGAAATTGCATTTCTGCAATTCTGTACCACTGCACTACGTGTAAACCAAAGTATATGTAAAGTATTTAGGTAAAGTATATTTATAGTTCGCTATGTGTAGGTTTGTATGTGTTTAAATCTGTAGCACCTGTGAGTCACAACATTTCATTTCTTTGTATGTCTCTACATACAGTGGAATGACAATAAAACTCGCTTGACTTGATTTATTAACACTGTTCCACAAAAGAAAGAAAGTCATAGAGGTTTGTAGCAACACGAGGGAGTAAATTATCACACAATGTTCCTTTTTGGGCGAACTATCCCTTTGAGTTGTATTTAACCTAAATATTCCTTTGAAGACTAGCGTATTTTGTTGTATGTTCGGTCATCATAACTGTACTGTCCCAAACAAACTGCTGCATGATACCACTGATCATTTCTGCCATTGTAATTCCACTGCTGCTCCTGCTGTCAAACTCTCTGGCATTCTCTGCTCTTCTGAAGGACAGGAGCATCCGCTGGATTGACTCCATGTCCTCCTGTTCTTCAGCTGCACCAGTACTTGATTCATCTCGCTCTGTAAAGCTGAGGCTTAGCTATTCTTTCAGTGCAGGTGAGCGGTAGAGATGTGGCTAGTGGCTGTTGTCTTGTCTTTTTTAGCTTTGGTGACCTGCTCTCCTTCACACTGACGGCTTTCGTGGAGCTCATGGACCATGGCATTGTCTCCTGGGACACCTTCTCTGTGGCCTTTATCAAGAAGGTGCGTCCACATGGCTATCAGTGGAAGTCTTTCCAGACAATGGATGTTTCCATGATTAGGGTACCAAATAGGTTGCTGCTGAGATGCTTGTGTTGACCACAGACCTTATTTCAGACATTTAACCAAAAACCCATTTAAAAACCCACTGACTTCGGGACGATTGAACCAGAAGTGCTGAATGCTAGTTTCTGAGTTTTATGTCATCCCTGCAGCACTCATTTATTTTAAAAAGACATTTATTTTTTATGGTCTATAAAAATAGAAAAAAAACGTTTTATATCCATTTTAAACGAGGTATGCATTTTTTGCAGTCCCTGTTTCCAAAATCTGGGGGAGAAAAACAATAAAATTCTAAACAATAATACATAAACATATAAATTACATATAATAAAATACAGTTGTTAAAGGGTTGTGACTGAGTTGAGGCTCTAGCTGAATATAATGTTAGATCATTAAAACTGGCTATTATATTAAAAACGTCATGCTGTATTTTGATAACACTCTAGCTTTTAAACATGCATTATCCAGATTTCTTTGCATCCTTTTTAACCAATCAAAGCACCTGTCACTTCATCCTCAGATTGCCAGTTATGTGTGTAAATCTGCCATGGACACTGCTGTACTCCAGAGGTCTCTAGCCATCCTGGAATCAATGGTGCTCAACAGTCAAGATCTCTACCAGAAGGTGGCTCAAGAAATCACCATTGGCCAGCTCATCCCTCATCTGCAAGGGTATGGATAATTGATAGCTCTTTGCTATTGTAGTTATCAAATTGAGATTATTTAAAGGAAAAGTTGAGCCAAAAATGAAAAATCTCATTTATTTGTGCATATGGCATTTTAAAGTTGTATTGCTTTTTATTATTTGTGGAACACAACTTTAAAGTGACCCTATTATGCCATTTTTAAGGTTCCTAATATTGTTTTGGGAGTCACCTAGAATAGGTTTACATGCATGCAAGGTCAGAAAACGCTTTAGTTTTTTTTCAAAATATGCGTTTAATATCACCTCATTTTCCAACGATTCTCAAACGATTCATTCGAAGCAGTTCTAAGATTCAATCTCTCTAAATCCCTAATTTCCGTGAGCCTACTCTGCTCTGATTGGTCAGATGGCCCAGTCTGTTGTGATTGGTCTACCGTGTACAGCGCGTGTTGGAAACGATACGCCCATTGCCATAGTTCTGTATTTTGAAGGCTCAATAGAAAATATAAACATCTATTATTTAGCAAACTTACAGGTTGTGATTCAGTCGAGCCAGCCGGTCCAAATAAACAGGGTACTGAGCCATCTTTCAAGAACAAGCGTTTTGTGAATCCCCATTGAACTCCCCGAGATTAGAGAAGCAGTCGTCAGAAAATGACGAAAATACAAAAAAAGATTGGGGTTGTAATGCTGGGAATTTTAACCACTGATTCTTTGCAGCCTCTTATCTTTCAGAAGTGAAGATAAAACAAATTTACTTTCACAGTGTAGGACACAGCGTCTTCTCGACATGATGTTTACCACATGAACAAGCTACAGTATTTGTGAGTGGGGTCAAGTTGTTAGCCAACGTAGAACATAGGTGGGAATTATGCACCCCGTGACGTGTAGGCGCCACAGAAGTGGGATTCGAATTACTAATGACTCGTTTAGGCTGTTCAGAGTCGATTCTTTCTTTTGGGAGACAGTAGCTTTATTTATCGTGCACTTTTGGCTTTACAACGTTGTATGTTTACATTCACATACAGCTACATTACACACTGCATGAAAGGCAATATTCAAAATGGCATAATATGGGCACTTTTAATACATTTTTAAGAATGTTCATGCTGCTTTTCTCAATATGATGAAAGTATTTAGTGACTGTCAAAATCTGAAAGTTTCAAAAAAGCAACACATTAATGGACCATATAGCCGATGCAGCCCCATTTGAATATGTACTTCTGTGTGTCAAGCTTTTGGAGCTTAACAAACCTTAGTTACTGTATGCTTTTGTTGTAAACGATGACAATTTTTGGTGAACTATACCTTTAATTGCCACTCGTACTTTTTTTTTTTTCCCTCTCTGGGAACAGGACAGATCAGGACATTCAGACTTACACCATCGCAGTGATTAATGCGTTGTTCCTCAAAGCCCCTGAGGAGAAGAGACAGGTACAGCACACACGCAAACCCATTTTCTCTTTTTTTCCATTTGTTTGTTGTTGTCTGGACTAAATAATTACACAGTGTCTTCATCAGGCAAGACGTAAGAAAATGTCAAGCGAATCACTTCCATGTTTATCTCAATTTTTGTTCTAACAAGCTGTGACTGTCAATAGCATCACACAACATTTGAGTCATTTTAGTCACCCAAATTGAAATCTCATTGGTTTAAATTCCTACTCCACATTGCTGCACATTAAACATCAAACATGTTCTGATTGGCTGAGATTTGAACCTAAAAACCTGGTTAGGAAGTTCTGTTTGTGAAAAATCAGGGAAATATGTCACTTAATTTGGCGTTATTTTGTTATTTTCTACCTGTATGTGCGTGAGTGTCTGTTTATGTGTTTGTAAGTGGCAGTTTTTCAACTTTTCCTTTTCCTTTCATCCTCCACCCATATTAAATGCCTTGTTATTCTTGATAGTGGAGTGGGTAGAACAACAATACAATCCTTAAATTTGCACTCACATTTACATTGCTCTGTGAGTTTTTGTGGGCAAAATCCAGTAATTTCAATAGGAATCCACGCAAATATCGCAATGGGATTGCATGTTGGTCATATATGTTTTCTATTTGACCAAGAGAAAACAGAAAGATATGTCAGAAGACATGTCGCTCTCCAAAGATATGTCAGAAAACCTGACCATGCAAAATGAATTACAGACAACAAGTCAGACAGAGACTCCAAGTGTTCTTATTGGGCCGTGTGGTTTCTCAGGTAGTTGGACAATTTATTGTGTGGTTAAAAAATTGTTTATACAGCAGCTTTAAGTAAGCGGGCTCGTGTAACTGCCTCATATCCTAAATGTCAATGTACAGTTTCTCCAGGTCTGTTTTGCTGACCTCTCATTTCTGTGCCACTAACAAAATGCCTCTGCTTTCTCTTGCTTCTTTTCTCTTCTCTTTTTCTGTCTCGTTCTCTTATCATTTCTTCCCCTCGCTGTGCTCATAATGGTAGTTTGATGAGGACAATGTGAGCATCCTTGATTGTCCTCTTACAGTAAGTGCTCTCTAGTTGAGGTGAACCATCTGTAGGTGATTTGACTGAGATGTTTCATATGTTTGTAGAGCTATACCTTTTGAAAAGGTTTTTGAATATGTGTGTGTATGTATATGAGTGTGTGAGAACTAAGGTGACTGAATGTTTTGCTTGATTGTAGGAGATGGCCCACATTCTAGCACAGAAGCAGCTGCGCTCAATCATCCTCAGTGTAAGTGCACAGTATACAACATATTACGAAAATAGTAGTATGTACTACAGAGTAGTATGGCAGTTTGCCAGTCTGAACATAAACATCTCTCTCTGGTATTGCTTTCCTGTAATTGATGCAGCAAATATCAGAAAATATCATTTTCTTCAAGGCCTGGGAAACTAGTTAGTAGTAGTAGTGAGGTTGTTATTATTTGCATAGTTTCTTTCACACAAAAAGTGCAGATCAAAGTACTTCACAGGTCTGGATATAAAACAAAAGTGATGTTTTAGAAAAGGAAAGTAATACTGTATCTCCACAGCAGTGCAATGTTCTCCGTCTGTCTAAAATTCTATTTCTCTCTTGTTTGTCAGAATGTGATCAGGAGTAACAAACCCATAAATGATGAAATGGCCCACCAGTTATATGTGCTACAAGTTTTGACCTTTAACCTTTTGGAGGACCGCATGATGACAAAGATGGATCCTCAAGACCAGGTGAACCTCTGTCTATAACTGTTCAATGATAAAGTTCAGTCCTGTTTATTATACAGCTGCTTGGCAAATAAATGAATGGACATTAAATATTTGTTTTGGTTTAATTATTTTATTATTTTGACAGAAAGTGTGATATGTGAACTATGTAGCGATGTAGAAAATTAGTTGCTTGGGGGAATGGGCTATTGTTTAGTAGCCATTATGTAATTATATTTGATGGCAGAATGTTGTGATTGAGAGATCAGAATCAAGCTGTGTAATAATAAGGTTTCATACCTGTGTTTGTATAGGCTCAGAGGGACATCATCTTCGAGCTGCGCAGGATCGCTTTTGACGTTGAGTGTGAGTCCAACAACAGCGGCAGCATTGAGAAGCGCAAGTCCATGTACACCAGAGACTACAAAAAGCTGGGCTTCATCGTAAGTTTTCATACAAGACATTGTAATAATTTTTGTTAGCTGTAAATTGACTGGAACAAATAAAAATGTTATATATATAACAATCTCAATTAAATAGCTGTTTGAGGAAATTCATGAACAATGACCCGAAATTGTTTATGACATTTATTTATTTAGCTAAAAAAGTTTGATCCCAAATGATGTCACTATCATTGCGTAGTTCAAAGCATTGTCTGAGTCCCTTGAAGCTCAGCAGAGTTCAGAATATTCAGAGCTCTTTGATCAAATTTGTTTGACACATTTCACTTTAACAGAATATCCGGCACGCTCTCCTTTGCACATCAAAACAGGTCACCTCGTCAGACATGCCCAGATGGCAGAGATGTCGCCAGTCAATCTGTCGTATTTTGACACTATATTTTTTTCAGGTGAAATTGTCAGTCAGGGTTCAAGCAGTGACATCAAGTACTGGGCAATATGAATTAAATATATATGCTATTTAATTGTTATTTTGTTATAAAAATTTTTTTAAATGATTGTGTTGTTAGTATTATTATTATTATTTAGTTTTTGCTAGTTTTCTGTATAACTTTTCACTCAAATTGTAATGCTGATAATATCATTCAAAATGAAAAAATAAATAAATAAATAAAAATAGAAGCCTTTTCACTAGTGGTCTTTAGCACCCCACTGTATTTCAAATATTATGAAAAGGTTGAAAAAAAATCTAAAAAATATTTTATGTAAATATATTTTTAAAAATACATATTTGTATAATAATATTAATAATATACATTTAAATAAATATATACATTTATATAATAAAGAAATGAATGAATGAATTTGTAGAAGAGCCTGCTATACATTAGTAGAGCTTGAGAATATGAAAGCAGCAGGAAAGAGGAAGTAGAGGCCGAGGCAGGTGTGAAGAGGAGTAGAAGAGGATTGCGGTCAGTAGCCTGAAGGGGGCAAGACTGCAGTTGTCTTGTGCTCCTAAGCCCCTGTGAGCTTCTGAGGTTCACTAAGACCCCTTTCACAGTGCCGTGTGCTGTCTGAAGATAAGACCTTCCCTAAATTCCTCCTGCGGTGTTAACACCTCCTCAGATTACACACACACACACACACATACTCGTTTTCCCATGCCACTAATGTCAAATGACAGGTAGCTCTGAGGGTCAAGACACCATTTTCACAGCGTTTTAGGAGAAGTGTGGAGTTTGTTTGTCCCTGTGATTTGCTGTTAGGGAGCAGTGCAGCATGTGTTAAGACAGCAGAGTTGCTAATGAGGGCTGTGTTCCAACTCTCTCAGGGCATTGTCACATTGATGGATGGGAAATTGGTCTCCAGTGCCCTCACCACAGACATGTTTTTAAGTACTGTGCTCTGCCAGTGGACTCTGGCGCTGTTCAGAATGGAATGTTCTATATAATATACTATATATACACTATTGCTCAAAAGATTAGGGTCGGTAAAATGTTAATATTACAGAAGATTTCTGAATTCTTTTCAGAAATATTAAGAAATATTGCAGTTTCTGCAAAAAAATATTAATTAAGCAGCTAACTCGCAATTGCGAGTTTATATCTCACAATTCTGAGAAAAAAAGTCATAATTGCGAGAAAAAAAGTCAGAATTGCGAGTTTATATCTCTCAATTATGACTTCTTAACTCGCAATTGCGAGTTTATATCACGCAATTCTGAGAAAAAAGTCAGAATTGTGAGATAAAAAGTCGCAATTACCTCTTTTATTTTTTTATTCAGTGGCGGAAACGGGCTTCCATAGGGTTTTCAACATTGATAATAAAACAATATATATTTCTTGAGCACCAAATCAGCCTATTAAAATTATTTCTGAAGGATCATGTGACAATAAAGACTGGAGTAATGATGCTGAAAATTCAGCTTTGCCGCCCATTACAGGACTAAATTACATTAAAAAAAAACATTAAAATAGAATACAGTTATTTTAAATTGTAGTAATATTTTACAGTATTACTGTTACTGTGTATTACACTTTTGAACAATAGTTTATGTTAATAGTTTATGTTGACATCCCCTGTCATTGTATAGAAAGCAGCAGTGTTCATAATATTTATTTTTGTGTTCCATGGGAAAAAATAAAGTGATATGGGTTCAGAACAACATAAAGTTGAGGACTGTAAATGGTGATTTTGGAATTAACTACTCATTTAGTTTAATTTAACATGCTGTTAACTAAAGATCTAAGAAGAGGTCCCCAAAAAACTTTATTATTACTTGTGGTCCTTTCGTCACTTACAGTATGAAAAATTAAAGATCAAGTTGAGCGCATTGCATTGTGGGATACAGAATTCAGCACAGCTCTGGTTACATGCTGGTTATTTTGTTTCATGCATGCAAAAACTGGCATCCTTTGCACAGTATATGTATTCCAAACTGCAAATGTACAAAGTACGTATATAACCTCTGGCTCTGTTTCTCTCTCTTTGTTTCTTTGTCTCAAAATAAACCATGTTTTTACTCGGTGTGGTTCCTCTATTCAATGCCCCAGACTCACCAGGGTCCATCCGAAGGCAAGAACTTTCAAACACAGTGTAATTGGCAACTCTAAATTCAGTCAGAGAGCCACAGAGCCCTCATCCTCAAAGGCAACCATCTCACATTTTCTGAAAAGCACAGATTAGTTTGAAGTAGACTGTCGAGTAGAGGGAGCAGATATCGCGGTCCTAGCATTTGCAGAAAGCTTGCTGGGTCTTTGTCATCCACCTGGGATATGCAGGCCTGTTTCTGAAGCACGGACTCTTTCGGCAGTTTGTGCAATGGAACCAATTTGACAATTGTTTTATTTCTACTCAGCTACTCAGAATGCCATACGAGACTCTTGCCCTGATTACGATGCGAGTCATGGAGTCACTGCTTGTGTTATTGTGTGTTTGTGTAGAATCACGTGAATCCTGCGGTTGACTTCACTCAGATTCCTCCTGGGATGCTGGCTCTGGACAACATGCTGTATTTCGCCAGGCACCATCAGGATGCCTATATCAGGGTAAGACATGCTCACATTACGTAGGTGTAGAAATGGGAAAATTCTTTTTATTTATAATCTGTTTTATTTTTAGTCTGACTAGTGCTCAATTAACGCCTCTAAAGCCAAGTGTTACCTCACCGCTGAAGTCATGCTTTTACATTAAAAGGGTGAGAGTGAGAGTGTGAGAGTGAATCTTAATGGTAGATCTGATTTTGTGTCTGGTTTCTCTGCTGTTATTGCTTAAAAAAAAAAAACTTTTTCACTTATTCTCCTCCAAAATGTGTCATCTACCCCTCTATACATGCTCATAGACTCAGTAAGGAAAGTGAAGTGGTGTTGACTGAAGACATTTCTTGTGTCCTCGCATAACTCTTTAACGGATGCTGGCTCTGGACAACATGCTGTATTTCGCCAGGCACCATCAGGATGCCTATATCAGGGTAAGACATGCTCACATTACGTAGGTGTAGAAATGGGAAAATTCTTTTTATTTATAATCTGTTTTATTTTTAGTCTGACTAGTGCTCAATTAACGCCTCTAAAGCCAAGTGTTACCTCACCGCTGAAGTCATGCTTTTACATTAAAAGGGTGAGAGTGAGAGTGTGAGAGTGCTGGAGCAGAGTGAACTTAATGGTAGATCTGATTTTGTGTCTGGTTTCTCTGCTGTTATTGCTTAAAAAAAAAAAAACTTTTTCACTTATTCTCCTCCAAAATGTGTCATCTACCCCTCTATACATGCTCATAGACTCAGTAAGGAAAGTGAAGTGGTGTTGACTGAAGACATTTCTTGTGTCCTCGCATAACTCTTTAACTGTACTATTCCACTTCACTGGCCTCCACAGCTGCGTTCTGTGGCTCTTCGGTCATCGCTGCTCTTAAGCGATACCCTGATAAACACTAAAATACACTCAGTTCTCAGCATACACTCCAGTGCCCTTACATTTAGCACTGTAAAGACAGTTTTTTTTTTTAGCCCCCTCAGCACCGGGTCCAGGACAACAACCCCTTCTAACCTGAAATGCAGCTTACAACCCTGTTTGGTGTTATTTTTGTTATTTCTAGCAATAAACAGTGAATAACCATCAAAATTAAAGAGATTGTTCATCTAAAAATGAAAATCGTTTACTCACCCTTATGTCATTCCAAACCTGTCATTCCAGTCACTTTCTTTCTTCTGCCAAACACAAAAGAAGATTTTTTGAAGAATGTTTTTGTCCGTACCAATTAAAATCAATGGGGTCCAAACCAACATTCTTCAAAATGTTTGTTGTGTTTTGCAGACAAAATAAATTTTGACTATAATTTTGACTATGATTATAAACTATAAAATAAAATAATCAAAATTAAAAAAAATTTGAATAACTATGAAAGAATGAGTAACAAGATTTACAAATTTAGCTTACATTAAGCTATTCTCTCTCTCTCGGAAGTCCGTCAATTCTGACGTGGACGATACATTGCTATTGATCATTCTTAGAGTGGACACATAAATGACTGCGGAGACCAAACTCTGAGCCGCAGATGTGCCCACAGTGTTGACACTTCGGACCCTTTGGGGTGACAGGTACAGCAGCATGCCTGCGGTGTCGGCGTTCCTCTGCCGCCTGGGTCATGACCACTTCCCAGGCATCAAGACCGGTCTTACAGGTGGTCTTCCAGGAGACTCTGTCAGCCGCCAGACCTTCGAGGGACATTGCTGGGATGCCACAAGCCTTCAGTATAAATTCCACGTGATCTACATAACATTTTTTTGGCAGCCCACAGTGCGCTGCAGTGGCATCCAGTCAGAGGACAATCTAATAACATGACCGACTCAGCGCAGTTGTCGCTGGTAGAGGATATATTCCAAAGAGATGATGTTGGCTTTGTGCAGAAGTTTGTTATGAGTGACATGATGCCACCAGCGGATGCCAAGCATGTTTTGAAGGCAGTGGGTATGAAAGGCTTCTAGTGCTTTGATATGGTGGCGATAGGGGGTCCAGGATTCACAGCCATACAAAAGAGCAGACAGGCAGATTGCTTTGTACACTCCGGTCTTGATCGACAAGGCCAAGTTGCAATTTAGATACACCCCGTGCATCAGGCGACCAAAGGAGGAAGAGGCTTGTTTAATTCAGTGTTGAATTTCATAAGATTTCTTATGAACTTCATTGATTTTGTAGCCGAGAACGAAGAAACGTTGACAGGACACAGCTGACTCGTACGAGAGTATTAACAGGACCTCTGTTTTCTTGGTATTAACGATTAGCCCTGCGCGGCAAGGATATTGTGCATTGTGGCTAACCAAAGCAGCATCATCCGCATACTGGAGTTCAAACACTGATGATGTTGTGACTTTTGACTGAGATCTCAGACGACGAGGGTTAAAGAGGCTGCCATCAAGAAGGCGATACTTAAACTGGATACCGTTACCTTCGGAGATGCCGTCACGAAACAGCAATGTCACAGCTGCCAGGAAAAAATTTAAGATGATGGGAGCCAGTACACACCCTTGTTTGACACCAACAATGACTTCAAAGGGCTCTGACTCAAGACCATCAGTGATGACTCTGACCAACATACCATCATGAAATTCATGCAAAACTGACCCAAAACAAGGAGGGCAGCCAAATTTAACATGCTGTAACTAACTAACAATAACTAACATCTTTAGTTAACATGCTGTTAACTAAAGATTTAAGAAAAGGTCCCCAAAAAACATGGATATTACTTGTGGTCCTTTTGTCAGATACAGTATGAAATATTAAATATCAAGTTGAGCACATTGCATTGTGGGATACAGAATTAAGCACAGCTCTGGTTACATGCTGGTTATTTTGAATAACTATGAAAGAATGAGTTACAAGATTGTAAGTACCAGGGGTTGCAAATTGAGCTTAAATTAAGCCTTTACTCAGTAGGTAATAGCCTTGTGGTTATGGATAAATGTGAATTTTCCATGAATTAAATATTTTTTGATCAAACTTAAATGGGAGTAAATAAAAAAATTAATAAAATTGATGAATAAAATTAGTAAAATTAGAGTGTGGTTATTTACTTTTTTCTGCCATTAAGTAGAAAAATCCAAGTTTATTTCGTGGGTGGCACAGTTAAAAGAATATTGCATATTTTTTGAAATAGGGGAAAATCATGTAGTAACCAGGTTACACAAAATTTAAAAGTAGTTAATGTAAAGTAGTTTTTTCTCCAAAGCATGTTGCTTTAATAGATTTAATTCTATTAAATGTACACATTTAGTTAACACATTTAATTCTGTCTGTATATTACAGATTGTACTGGAGAACAGCAGTCGTGAGGATAAACATGAATGTCCATTTGGGCGCAGTAGTATTGAACTGACGAAGATGCTGTGTGAAATTCTCAAAGTGGGAGAACTTCGTAAGTGTCATCATTTTAAAACTTCATCTTTTATTTACCATTGACTTGTGAGATGTCTCCATTGAGTTACGTTATTGCAAGAATTGTTTTCGTCTTTCTTCCACACATGTTGAGAGTGAACAGTTGCCAGCAGTGAAGATAAAAGGCAACATTAGACTTTATAATTGTAGAGGAGTTCATAAATTAATGAAGTAAAGAGTCTAATGTTTGCCCTCTTCCACCTCTGCAGTCTCTGAGCTTTTACGACTTGCTTTTATGTCTCAAGTTGAGGCTGCAACAACCGACGTTGTCTGACTTGAGTTAATGCATAAGGATTGAGACTAGTCTGACTCAAATTCAAGGCAGGATGCTTGGTTGGGTTGTTTCGACCTTGCACATAGGAGAAAGAGTAATGGAAAGTGGCAGAGAGAGACAGAGATGATATATGGATAAGCAGGACAGAGAGGTATGGGATAGATCTCGACGGGCGGCACTGTAAGGTGTTATATGTGTGACTGTGAAAGCACAATGACTCATGGATGTCCAATGAGTTACAGTAGAAACATTTATAAGTAAGTGGTGTTTGCCAGTGCAGAACTTTGTTGTAGGTGGTTTCCATAGATATGTGCACGTAGATATTTGCTTATTTGAGCGCTCTAGACACGTCAATGCGTTCGCCATCTTGGAATAGTTAACGTGTTGTCACTCACATTAAACATCAATGATATTTCCAAGATGCCACACCATTACACAGCCTCTGGTTGTAAAAACCACGATTTAAATTCCAGAAGAAATGGAATGAACTTTCACAGGTGAGAATGTGTTGGTTTGTGTTTTAATATGTTTTAGGTACATGTTTTTTAAACTATGGTTTAACGTTTTAAATAGTGTCAGCAAACGGATTCATTTTGTTGTATTGTGTTAGTTTTGCAAAATCATCTGCTGAAGGTGTTGATATATGCATATAACTATGGTTGCAGACACACAGTCAACTTCCTCTTGATTGTTCACGGATCAGTTTTGATCGTTCCAATATGGCGGACTTACAGAAACAGCCGCTAATGAGGCTTCTATGTATATACATCTATGGCGGTTTCTAAGCTGTTGCTATAGTTGCCAAGATGTTCTGAGTGTTTTTAACGTATTACCAAAGTCCCTTTAAGACAAGTCATGTCACGCGGTGGCCATCTTTGAAACGCCTCTCGGGCATGCAAGTGCAGCTCCTATCTTTCTGAATGGAGAAACATCAAATTCTCCAAAACTTTTCACCAATCTTACGATTAAATTTCATATTTGAATCACCAATGAAATCTGACAACAACTGCCTCATGAATATTGTCTCTTATGCTCCAGTAGCGTAAAAAAAAGAAGCTTTTTTTCAGGACAGACCAGCCAATGCACATGCGCAGTCCTAGTGCAGAATGCTGACTGTTTCTATAGCAACCGGGGCTTCAAACGGCAGCTGCAGTGACGCGATTGGCTCTTTTATTGAAAAGGCGGGACTATTCAGCAATATTGCGTATTACACTTTCTCCTATTCATAAGTAATAGGAGTGCACCGTCTTTGGTATATCTAAAGTCTTTGGTATTACTATGAGGTTGCTAGGGTGTTCTAGGTGGTCGCATACTGTCAAACAGGCCATTCCAATGACATTCTGTGGCCGGTTGCATAAACTGCTTAGACTAGTCTTAAAAAGTTAGTTGTCAGTTTTTTTTTCTTCATAACTTCTTTAAGTCAGATACACAAAGGTAGATTGGTCTAATTTGAATCTGAAATGTAAGACTGATTACCCCTTGCCTAACTGCTAGTTGGTCAAGCTAGTTTTTAAGTTGTAACTATTTCTTGAGACAAAGACAAAGTGGCCATGTTTGTGCAACCAGCATTTGGGTTGCACATGGATAAATCCATAAATGTAAGCCTGTTGGATTTTTTTTGTCCATTTTTATGGTTCAAGCTGTATGGTTTATGGTATCATTCATGTCCAGTGCATTACTAGTCTACTCACTATAAAGAAGTTAATCTTCTAGTCATATAGTATTTAGATAAGAGTTTCTGCCTCCAGATCTGTAATTTCTACCTCAGTTTGGTGGCTCATTTCCTTGTGGGCCTGTCTAAGATTCTCCTATCCTACTCTGGAGTGCTGAGGAATCACAAAGAACTATAAACCCGTTGCTATATTGAGTCACGCACCATTTAATGTAGCACAGTTGGAGTGATTCATCACATTTATTAAGCACAATATCGAGAGAGTAATGAGCAGCCAGCAAAGCATTTTATTGTTTAAAAACTCCATTTGGTATTCTGATTCTGATTCAAGTTAGCAGAGTTATTAGCACAACCTCACTGACAGCTTTTGGGCATTATTGAACGGCAAGTATATTCTCAGTGGAGATTGCACCACCATCCTGTCATCAGAAACCTAATTAAATGAACTTGCTGAGAAAGCTTAAAGTAATTCCTCATTTAAAAGTAAAGTGTGCGCGTTTGAAAGCCTTTTTGCCATTTGGCAGGTATTTTTGTTCAAAGTGATTTATAGTGCACTTACGGAGCTTAGTGAGGGTAGATTCTATATTTGAGTTGACGTGGGTGTGAAGGATGTCGAATGGCTTGTTTTAATGTTTGTGAACCTTAAAGGGGTGCATTTAACCAGTATGCCACACTATACACCATACTCTTTATTTGTTATCTTCTACAAATAGATAGACATGGCCTGGAGATCTCTCAGACTGTGCGTGTGCCAGCTTGTGCGCTCCCCAATCCAGGAAAAGCCCTGTCACACCTACCATTGATAGATTTTTAATGGCATATCCCACATCGCATTTAAATATGTTTTATCTAGCTGTGGCACAAGTGTTTCTGTTCGACCGCTACTTCCGTCAGCAGTCATGAATTATTTATCAGGAATCCAGGTGTCCCTGCTTCACCTCCTCTCAGAGAAGCTATGAAAGTTTTATAGCCGTCCATGTTTTTCCCTACAAAAGCTTTAATGGAATCTGCGGTGGTCAGGCGCCATGCAATGGCTTCCTATTTCAGTCTTTAAAAAGGCGTATCTAATATTTATGAGGAGAATCAAAATGGCTACAGGCAGAAATGTCCTTGCTTATGGATTTATGGTGTTATTGCACTTTTACCGGGAGAACAGAGTGGTGCGTTTCCACCTTATGACTGAACTTACATATTAATGATGGCTCAGTACTGTCTATTTTTGGCCAGCTACAGAGTTGAAATGATCATGGTGAGCACATGTGAAAAAAGAAACTAGCACAGTGAGCATGTCACAGTCAGATCACCTCAAGTCCCATGGAGTTTGATTTCATTAATAAACTCATGTGCATCAGTGATCCTCAGCTCCACGCAGACAATACTGTGGGTTAACAGCATCAGGAATAGGCTTGTCTGTAACTGTCCACATTATCTCACACCTCTTGGATGATGTTTTTGACATCCCTGCTGCTCCATCATGAGCTCCCTACTGAGATATGGCACACTTTTAAGATGGGAACATGGCGCCATGCCTGGGCGAGCCTGTGTAATGCCTGAGGGATCAACTTTGAGTCTGTGGATGAAACCAGAACGCTCTTCTGTTTGCTCTAGTCTAGTTGCTACCGAAATGCAGTGGGAAAAAAAATACAATGAGTAAAAAGTGCTCCTTTCTGCGTATTGACATGGAGCTCCCACATGTCTTGTTAACCACTGAAGTGTATTTGTTTAGTGGGAGATATTCTCCTAGGGACATCTTCTGCTTCAGTACTCGCTGAAGCTCTTTTACTCCTCTATACAGAAGTTAGTAGATATGGGTGTCTGTATTGACAGGCTGTACTATTGAAGTACCTCAGTTTCACTTCAGCTGCACTCGGTAATAAGACCACTCATGGCACAATGCACAAATGCTGACAAAAATACACACTGTGCGGGCAATTACATGGACGCTAGAGAGCCAAGTTGAGTTAAATGGAAATTTACACTGCCTTTGAAGTGATCCCTGCGGCTGATTCAGATTATAAAGTCCCATTAGCAGCTCAAAAAGGTTCAAAAGAACCACTTTCACATAGTATTTTGTCTAGTTAAAGTCGAGAATAGATTAAGTTGAAAATAGCAGGTTAAAAAGGGGTCTTGAACCATTTTGAGGCTGAGGACCACTATGTGAATAGATGGGGCATAGAAGCCCTGTTGTATTGTGGGCTGCATTTTAAGCCTGGCCTATAATACACATATCAGCATATCAGTACCATACCAACTTTGATGTTTACATGCCTACCTGTTTTGATGTTTACATTGCAAAGCCATTAGAATATCATTGGGATGTACATTTGATATAAATTTTAATACATGTTAATGTGGAAGGGATCATGAAACTTTTCTTTAGCTTCTTAACTTGGTTGAAATTAACTTAAAGAGATAAGTTTACCCAAAAATTAAGTTATATCATTAATTTTTTTCACCACCATTGCGTTTTTCCAAACCATAAAGTTATTGGAACAATGAAAGAAAAAACATTGGGCCATTTCAGAAAGAAAAAAACATTAGGCCATATTTATTTTAATTGTATGGACAAAAACAAAACATACATATCTTCAAAATATCTTCTTTTGTGTAATATATATATACACAAAGTTTTGAAGAATGCACTTTTTTTCATGTAATTACCTAAACTTTAGAAGCACCTTAATATCTTAAAAGTGAATTCCAAGTCTTCAGAAAAGTCATATGATAATAAGTCATATGTGACCCTGGACCACAAAATCAGTCTTAAGTCGCTGGAGTATATTTGTAGCAATAGCCAAAAATACATTGTATGGGTCAAAATTATTGATTTTTCTTTTATGCCAAAAATCATTAGGATATTAAGTAAAGATCATGTTCCATGAAGATATTTTGTAAATGATCTCTGCCAAATATTATCCTATCCTAACAAACCATACATCAATGGAAAGCTTATTTATTCAGCTTTCAGATGATGTATAAATCTCAATTTCGAAAAATTTACCCTTATGACTGGTTTTGTGGTCCAGGGTCACTG